GGAAAGAGTTTTTCTGGGTTGGAAATACATCAAAATACGCAAATGGAAATCAAACTTTCATAAAAATTGAAGGTAAGAGCTAGGAAGAAAACAAGACTTATTTAGCTTACACTCAATAACCCAGACATAGCTGAAACTCTGAGGATAAGATATTATCTCAAGATATTGTCATGGCCTTAGAGAACTTCTGTTTATAATACATATATTTGTTATTTTTCTTAGAAAACTCTGCTTTAGGAATACCCACAAAACATGACTAGTGGAGCTGTAGTATTAACCTTCCCTGCAAAATTTTTTATCATTACACATTTGAAAGATTTCTAAGTCTTTAATATTTAAATATATATTTTAAGATGCAACAACAAAATCCTTTTTTTTACTTAAGAAAGAATCATATCAGAATCCCCTTGTAGAAATTAGGTGTTTCTAAATTCATAATTATATGAGCATAGAATTTATTTACTGTCTTCTATATACATAAATAGAATATTTAGCAGTTAGTTCACAACACTCATTTAGGTTTAGTTAAGAGTCAGTACAGAGAGTATCCTAATTATAATGCACTTTACACACAAAAATAACATGAGATAATCATTTTTTACCTGTTTTAACTATGCCACAGGTAATGGCTCCATAGTTGTATTTTCCATGGCTGCTGTGAATGATCCCCCATATTCAGACACCCCTTAGAAATGAGCTTTTGAATAAAGGTTGGTAAAGTACCTCTCTAATTCAGACCATTGGAATGAAATATATCACATCATTGTCCAGACATGTGTACTTAAATGAAATATATTTTGTTTGTAAAACAGCAAACAAAAAGCCTCTCTCAGCGTGTGCCATTTTCCACTTCAGTTTGTGGCAAAGGGGACCATGTTGAAATAATTTGAGGCATGGTACCCGCCGGTCAGTCTTGGTAATGCAGAAGGGAGGGACCCAGTGCATCATTACATTTCACATGTTGTTTTTCAGGAGATGGCTGCAATCAGTCACTTCGCATATGGTTTGAAAAAGGCTTGTCTCGCTGGCAAGCAAACTGTTATTTAAGTACACAATCCACTCTACTACTGAAACAGTTTTGCCAAACTTATCCAAGTATTCTCACATGCTTAAAGATGGTATAAATATCATTTATTGCTAGCAGTTTTCTTCAGACTATATGGAATGTCTTCCTGCTGCCTGATCTAAGTGTCCCAGTTTACATTATGGCCTTTACTGCCTCTGTTTGATGGAGTGATCAGTAAAAATTTAATGACACTATAAAATAATAAAAATGTCATTAATTTACCACGGATCTTGGATGCAGTGGTTGTAAAGTTACATTAATAAACAGAATATTTTTTACAACAAAAAGCATTGTTACTTGGGAACATATAAATAACACACATAAATTTAAGAGCAATTTTACTGTTAGCACACACATTATTATGGAATAGCCAATAAGTGTATAAAACATAGTATATAAAATTTTATTAAAATATACTGTGCACATCAAAAATTCAGCTTTTATCTAAGTGCAAAGAAAAGCCATTATTGTGTGCTTACTGTTTCATTGCTGTTCTTTCCCCAGATCACAATTTTATATTTGGTGCCAGTAAGAGGAAGTTGATTTTTTTCCTAGATGAAAACAAACCTCTGTTCTTTTAGATACCCCAATTCATTCTCTCTCTCCACCCATGAAAAAACAAAATTGATCAATCTTGCCATGGTAGGGAGGGAAAAGTTGCTAATTTAATACAAAGTTAAAAATAATGCCCAAAGAGTTGAATGGTTTGTTCAGTGACTCTGGAAATAACGGATAATAATCCAGCAGTCTATCTGTCATCAGTGAGGCTGCCCCGTCATTGACTCTGATAATATATGAAGATGATGGATACTACCGTCTTGTGGCTTGTAACATTTAACATTTATCAGCTCTCACTAAAGGGGGCTTTATCATTTAAATATATTTATTTAATATGCAACATCTACCTCATATATCCTAATTTCAAAGCACTTAGAGAGCCAACAGTCCTACAACACAGCAGAGCTGACTTTAATTTTTTTCAATAACTTTTATGTTGCCTGCATGTTTGTGACTGACAATGCATAAGTAAGTGTCTGATCACATTGCTGCACGTAAAATCCACTGTCAACATGGGGCAGTTTTCCTGGAGGGGTGGGATTAAATTAGCATTGAGGTATTTTGCTTATATCTCCAACGTATCTTACTTGGGAGCTATGTACGTGGTAAGAGCTAGTTCAAGTGTGTGGAAATTTGGACTTAAGAACTTGCCACCCACAGCCTATATTTGTTCCATATAGGGGCATGCTCACGGGTACTTAATGGCAGAAGTTTAAGCTTGTTGGAACTGAGGTTATCTTTATACTTCTCTCTGTGCCCATGTCCACATCCTGTATTTACTAGGCTCATGTTTGACCTCACTGGTAAAATCTTTGCTTAGCTCAGCTGCCCAGACATAACTTGTAGACATCAGGCCCTCTTATCTTATAGTTATGTGGCTGGCAAATAAATATTCTGAGCTATTCTTTGAAGAAAAGAAGGAAATCTTCTGGGAGACTAGGTGGAAATTTATATGAAAGGGCATGGCTTTGCAGGGTCCTTCTTTAATCTCAAACACAAGTGCTTAATATTACCAAATTTAAAATGCAACCCACTGCCCAAAACAATTTCTATCATTGATTTATTTTCTTCCTATTTAAGAAGTGTTTCATGGGATATTCTTCCTTGACTTCTATTCTGTCAAAATATTGATATTTTAAAGGAAAGTATCTCTGTAGAAGATTTTTTTTTCAATGAAGTCAGAAAAATATATGACTTCAAAGACACTGTGAATGTGTTGTTGAATGTTCTGAATGTTTTTTGTTATGATTAAAAACAAGCTGATACTACTGAATTGTGAGTGCACTTCAATTTTTATAAAAGAAAAGATATTATCATCATGTAAGCTTTGTTGTCTTAGGATTTTACAAACCATGGCATGTAATTTTCCCTCTTCTCCTTCCTTGTCAAAATATTGATATTCTTTCAGGAACTTTATTATTTTTTTTTTTACTGAGAATATTTTCTAGTAAAATCAAAGAGAATGAATGACTAGAAAGATACTTGAAATATGCATATTGATAGGTAGCACGGTCTGTTGATTTTCAGAGAAAGTTGTTTTTCCCCCTATGAAAATACAGTTAAAGGTTGTTCTTCCAAGAAGATTGCAGGTGTCACATCAAAACTCCTTTTGCATTTAACATAGGGAAAGCATTCACATGCAAATATTTGAAATGCGAAACAATGTGATAAAACAAAGGTTGAATATTTTGCTTTCCCTGGTACCACTCATCTTCACTTTAATTCTTTTCTTTTTACATCATGACAACCAAAGTGCTACTCAAAAATAGAAATTGGCTGATTAAAAGCAGCTGTCCTTCCCTGACTGTGTGTGAAGCTCCCACAAGGCTTATAGTTGCTTTTTGTTGTGTCCTGCATCTGGGTTAATTTCTTCTTGTGCACCGTGTTTTCACATTAGAAGATATTAGGGAACTGCACTTAATTTGTTTTTTATTTTCATTCTGTTTTTTATAAGTGTCATAGTTCACAGGTTTTCCTACATACTGCTATTTAAACTAGTGAGTATTACTCAGTTAGGGAAATTCATGATTATAAATTTTGTTGCAAATCTTTCATAGAAATGGTGTAGATTAAAGCAAGGTTTATGTGGTGTTTTCTTCTAACATAGATTTCAACATATTCCATGATGAAGGGGAACTGGAAGACTTCCTGCACAATTTGACTGATGGGAATTAATTATAGAAATATAATGATATTCAAAAATAATCATATTAGAAAGCACAAATGTAGTGAGGCTGTACAAATGAAGCACAGCCTCTATCAAGTAATTGTATGTTTGCTCTTTAAGAATATTTCCAAGTTTCTAAACATCTTACAGAAGAGAACACTCAGAGTGTTTCCATCTAATGCCGAACATGCTCAGTACAGAACTAGGTCATTGAACAATAGACTGAACAGCAATCAGCACTCTACTGCTGCATAATGCATTAAGTATAACATGCAGAAACCATTCCCCGAGCTAGAAGCTGCTATTTCATGTCTGTAAATTCAAGCTGACATGACATTTAATATTGTTTCATAGTAATGAACAACAAGGTCTCATTCATTCATAAGCACAACACAAAGCCAAGTTTGAGTCAGGAGAGTAGTGAGGAGACGAGAGGGGGGCATGTGCTGTGTTTCTGCAGACAAGAACACCATATTAATGATGGTCAATGAGCCCCTCTGCTACTGATCCAGAAAGCTGCAGAGGAAGTGTTCACTGTGTTGCCTCTGACTCCTACTCCTAGAGAACTGGTGAACAAGTAAAACATCTCTGGGTTTCCCTCCTAAAGCAGCAAGGGTATTTAATATTCCTGGCTCCATGGCTGGCTAGGAGTGATGTCCTCCTTTTCTCTTCCCAGAAAAAATCACAGTTGAAATTCTGAGACAAAATAGTAGTATCAGTCATCATCTAGTTGGCCTGCTTTGAAATACTTGTTTTTGAAATCCTCGTGTATAAAATTTTGACTTGTATTTCCACAGGAATACCAATGCAAACTATGATCTCTAAATGGGAAAATTCCTCTCCCATTAAATTATTTTAATAGGAACTGCTCTTTCGGGTTTTGGCATTCTTGGCTCAACCCTCTCTGTTGCATTCTTTTTAGATTACTGGAGCAAACCCAACAGAGAAAAGATATGCAGAGCAGCTCTTACAGGTTCCCTGTCACAGGTTTCCTTTCCTCACAGGCACTATGGTCTAGATGCTGTCAGTGCTGTGTCCATGTCACAAATGGCTTTCAGTGGAATCTTCCTGAAACATGAAAATTGGTCCAAGTTGGTCAGAAATGATATTTGTGAATTCAACTTTTGCCCATTAAGCAAGTTAGAAACTGGAAGGAAATAGTGGCTGTTTTGGAAACTGGAATAAGCGTCTAATTATTTGTTCCTCTAGGAAAGATCACGCTTTGAGAATTTGGGGCCCCAGTTAACAGGAAAGTCAAATGAAGATGGAAAACTGGGCCCAGGAGTCATTGATCTCACTCGGCCGGAAGATGCAGAGGGTGAGTAGCTTTTCCCTAGCTCTTTTCTGCTGCTCCATATGTTTCCAAAGGTGTGTCTGAGCTAGACATAGGATCTTTATAGTTTTTCATAGGCGTCATCAGCTAGAATTTTTTAGGCAAAGCAGAGGAAATGTTACTCTTTACCTATGTATGTATGTTATGTTATGTATTATAGTGGAAGACTTTAAGAAGCAGCTAGATATTACATTACTGAGTACTTAGCAATCCAAGTACTTCAAGGTACCATTAAAGTTTTAAAATAAAAGGGCATTTACATTTCAATAAAGGGCAGAATTCTGTGTTTCAGTCACCTCACTGAATTTGTGTTTAAAAAGGGAAAATATACAAAGGGGGGCTTTTAAACATTATTTTATCTTTCATTGACAAGTAATAATTGTATATATTTATGGGGTATAAAGTGATTTTTATACACATATACATTGTGGAATGATCAAATCGGAGTATTTAGCATATCTAAACCAAGTGATTCCCAGGTAAAGTAGTTTTATTTTGAGGATTAAATGATAGTTTGCAGCAGTTTTAGCATAAACTTAATAGTTGTCTGGGGAAGGCCCAGTTTGTGCCTATGCACTAACCATTACTAAAGTCTTTCAAAAGTCTGGGCGGAAAGACCAGCCTTACTCTCAGAATGTCTGCCTGCACCAATATCAATGCCTGTTCACTTCTCTTCCCTTTTTGTTTGTTTGTTTTAAATACACAAGCAGCACATCAGCAGAAATTGCTCCCCAGAGTCTGGGTACAATTTATGGGTTAGGTCAGCAATTCAGTAGTAATGTTGCCTGGTTATTTACTGTGTCATCACAGAGTAGAGACTGGTTTTCCTGTTAGCTGTTCTTTTGGCAGAATCTGTCCCACAGTCAGGGAAGATTAATTTGTTCTCTCCAGAGTAACATGATACTTTGCCCATCTGAGGTCTCAGCTAAAGTCCTTCTTTAGCTCAAGGGGAAGAATCTCACTAGTATCCCTTTTACTGGCAGGGTTTCCTCCAGGACCCTAATCCCTTGAAAACACATGAAGACACCTCATAACAGCATCTAAACTGGGAATGGCTTCTAGTGAGAGCCTGGGGCCATCCCAGGCAGCCCGGAAATCCCTGGAATGAGCACCTAGATGAGTGCTATTAGACATTAGGAAGCCTTCAGAAAGTTTTCAGAGCACTAATTTTTCATACTAGTAGGAAAGATTAATGTTTGATGATAGTTTGGGAGACAAGGTGTTAAAATAAATTCTGATTAAGATGTGTATGTGTGTATGGGGTACAGAGGGAGGGAGGGATAGAGACAGGGAGGGAGGGAAGGAGAGAGGGAGGGAGGGAGCGAGGGAGGGAGGGAGGGAGGGGAAGGGGAGAGAGAGGAAGGAATGTAATGAGGAAGAGGAAGTTAGGTAGGAAGGGAGGCATGAAGAAGACACAAAACCAGAAATATACTTGCTGTCTTCCTTGAAGAATGTGTATCAACAGCCTATTATTTTCATAGACACTTAAAAGTACAGGTTTTCCACTGATAGGGGGGAGGTTCCTCTGCTTAGGGAGCCAGGAAATCCAAATGATGTTACTTGCACAGTTAACCATCTAATTGCAACACAGATTGTGGCTGGCCAAAAAGTTTGTGTGGAAGTGTTTCAGGTCCTGCCCATCTCAATTTTATTGGGAGATTGTACTGTAGAGTACCTAAATTGTTGACCATTTGTAATGAAACAAATATTTTTCATTACTTTGGAGTATTCAGTCTGTTTATTTGGCAACAGACTGATAGTTACAGAGCTCTATCACCTTATCGGTGCTGTCAAAGACTTTTCTTAATTTGTCATTCACCCTTTTTCATTTGCTTCCTTAACTGCATATTGGGTGTAAATATAGTCAGTCATCTCTCAGTAATGTCATTATCTAGTTAGTGATATCATGTGCTTGGTAAGTTAAAAATCATGGTCATAATTATTAACTATTTAAAAGGAAAATGTTAAAAATTTAACTCCAGAGAAACATACTATATAGAAATATTTTTGGATATTCTATTCAATGCCTAGATTGTCTAGATTCAAATCAATTTTCCAGGTTGTTTTGTTTTTAGCAAACATTTTACCAAGCACTTAATTGCTGGAGGATGTGTTAAACTTTTTACCCATATTTACTCATTTAATCCTTATACACATTATAAAGAGGGTATTATTTTTTCCATTTTACAGGTGAGAAAATTAAATTACTTGCTATGAGCCACATATTAACGGTACGGCTGAGATTGTCCCAAGCAGCCTGCCATACTGCACCCCCTGTATATACAGAAACACATGGTCCCTTCATTTTTCTGAACAAACTCCTTGTGACCTTCCTCAGTATGGCCCATTTCCTCTGCCCTAAAAATAGCAAGTCATGCCATACGCCAGCTTTCATGTTACTCTGTCTCATATAGCAGCAGTGCCTGATGAGTGTCATAGTAGAAGGGCTGTAGTGGCCCAGGAGCTTAAGGAGCATGTGAAAACCTCCCTTCAGAAGCTTGCCCAGAGTTGCCATTGAGACCTCATGTGCTTTTGGGGGACTGTGGGTTCATGAATGGAGTCAAGTTACCTGTTCTAATACTGACTGAAGTGTAGTGCTTCTGTGAGGACTTCTAGGATGGGTAGCAGCCTTCTGCTGACTTTAGGATATTTCCTGGGATCTATTCAAGTGTGAGCTGATTGCAATGTCTGCTGGAGTTACAGTTCATATTAAAGTCAGAGTAGATAACAGGTACACATGATACTGTCTCTACTTTGTTCCTTCATATTTCCCTTAACAGTAAGCTTAAGAAACTGGAGTATCAGAATAATTTAAAAAAGTTATTTGCTCCTTCACTTAGTCTGTGGTCTAAAAAAAGAACCAGCCAACATTTCTTGAGTGACTACCATGGGCCAGCCCCTAAACAAGACATAGAATAAAAGACAGGAAGCAAAGCAGAGATGTCCTTGACCTCTTTAAACGTATGACCTAGTGAGAAAAGACAGAAGATTAAAAGGGAAATATGTACATACATAATTACCATGGAGAAAAGTGCTAAGAAGATCAGGACTTCTTTGTGCTCTCGGAGTGAGAGCTCCTTAGGGAGGCTGAGTTGATAGGTAAATTCTGTGCCCATAGCCCAGGATGTCCTCTCCCTCAGTTCATACAGGTCTCTTCTGGCTTTGGAACAGCAATTTTAAGAGGCTATGCCCTCCCTCCCCTCTACCCCATCCTCCTGTGAGGCTTCTGAAGTGGCTAAAGTAAGCCAATCCAGAAGATGAGGCCCTGCCTCCCCCAGGCTTCCCAGGAAAATGTGCCAGCCATGAAAATGACAATATCACTTAGTAAGCAACTTGTAGACATGCTTCAGAGTCCTGAGCCTGGAGACAGTGAGGAAAAGGTCACCAAAAGAGGCAGCTGTGCATGTGTATTAACCACTCATCAAAATCATATGACAAAACCATAGGCAAGGAAAACAGAAATTAAAAATATAAAAGGCAAATGTCTTCAAAATTTTATTTTTAAAGTCCAGCTGTTATTTGGCTTGAATGTGACAAGACAGCATTTCTTGTTCACCATGATATTTATAAAACTACAAATTCATTGGTGCCGGGGACTTAGGAAACATGTTTAAGGTTTTGTTACACTTTGAAGCAGTTGAAGTCTTAACATGTATTGAGTATATATAATTTGTTAGCTCCCATGTAGGACATGTAAGGAAGAGAGGGCTTGATTAGTTGAGTCTGTCGCCATATAATTAAGAATGGTGAACAGCTGTTGAACTTTCTATGGTCTTTTTTTATGGCATTTCCCCTTTTCTTATTCTGCTTAGGCAAGAGTGCAATTCTTATTCCTCCTCTCCTAATTTCAAGGTTGCCTATAGACTAGAAAGCGTTCTAGCCTGTTAAATGGGAGATTTGAGTTGAAGTTCCTTTGCTAAATGACTAAAAACAAGTGCATCTGGGCTTCTTTATCTTTTAAAAGAGGTGTATTGGGTTTGAATTCATCTAAGATCCTTTCCAAATCTGTAATTATTATTAGAATCTTCATAAAACACTGAGTGAATTTCATATCGGAAAGATGATCTATTTATCCATAGGTTCCATTTAGGGTTGTTTTTCTTTTTCTTTTTAGAGGAGAGTAATAGCTTAGAGGTTGTGCTTGCGCCACTTGCTGAATTGAGTTTTCATGTTCCTTAAGCTTTTCTTTTTATTAATGAGGAGATCTGTCCAGTAGTATTTCCCAATTAATTTTCACAGATGGGCTCCCTCCTTTTTATCTCTGTTCTCCTTTCCCCCAGCAACAATAGTTGAGACTTGGCTTTTTAAATATGTTCTTTCAATCCAGTTTCTTTTCTCTCTTATACCTGCTGTTTCTAAAGGGATATTTTTCTTTTCTTTTTGTGTTTTGCTGTATGGTTTGAGTAAGAAAACATTCTTCTAACACGTTTAAAACAATTTTCACATCAATTACTCTGTCCCAACCTTACTGGGAGGCTGTACCTCATTTTAATTTGGGGCATAGTAAAAGATAAGCCTACCATTTATGGATGAGCTCTGAAAGGGATTATCTTTGGCTAGACTGTTGGACCCTGCCTGGATCAGAACTGGAATGATGTGCTGCCCTCCATGTATTCAAACTTTGCATTGATTTGAATGGAAATAGATATGTGTACCAAGAATACCCTCTTTTGGGACTGTTGCTCTCAGATTTCTTTAGAAGCATTTTATAGATTTGTACTGAATTTGTGAACTGGAACACAACCAAGATGAACTTACCCTTCTGAAGCTTCATTTGCCTCTGTGTGTGTGTGTATGTGTGTGTGTGTGTGTGTGTGTGTGATGTGTGTGTGTACCTCCAATTGCTTCTAAGTTTTATATCTCAGGATAGTTTTATTATTCTTAGCTTAAGCTCTTTGTTTAAGACAATTAGGAGAGATTACAATAGTTTTTCTTTTTCTTTAAAACACACCACTTAATATGAATGCTCTCTCTTACAAATCCTG